TCGGTGGTCGGTCTCAACTACATATATAGCTGACTCATCTCCACTTTAGTTTAATGCTCCACCAGGCTATTTCAGTTACTCTTGTGCTGCTGCGGATATCCTCGTAACGGATTGGTGACTTTAGTTTTTGTTAATTTGTTCAGACAAATGTAAAACAAAACTTCGCAAAAATCTTAATAATTTCCAGAAGATTCTCTTAAAAGAGTTGGATTTACAATTTTTTTTAAAACCGTGTATTGGCGATGTAAGAATATCCACTACCTCATATGGTCCCGTGGATATCGTAAGAGGCGGCAAAAGGAAACTAAAACAGTACTTGGGTTGGCAGAAGCATATTTATTTATTTATTCTTTATTGCACCAAATATTTGTACAAAAGGCGAGCTTAATGCTATATGGCATTCTCTACCAGCTAACATTGGGTAGAACAGAGAGTGAGTTTGGGCAATTAAGTTGTCATGATATAATTCAGTTCACATATATACATGCAACACATACATAAAATATACACATATATATGAAATATATATAAATCATAATAAATCAATAAATACACACATTTGCACATATATATCTCAATAAATGTAGCCTGTAGCCAGCCCCCCCCCCCCCCTCCCCCCTCCAAAAGGCAATCTAGGGAGAATTAAAAGAATTAAATTAACTAGTACTGATCACAGGCCGTTAATTTTTATAAGGTGTAATGGATTTAGTTAAAATAAAACTTTAATTAAGAAGTCATATAAGAAAGTATAACAAAAATACGTTATTCACTGAGTGTATTAAAAGTTTCGTAATTGCTACGTCAGTTGTCTAGTCTTTAAAAGTAGCGGGAGATAAAACGATTTAAGTATTATTCGAGACTGTTATCTTTTGCAAAACTTTATGGAAAAGAACGAAATTTAAACCATACTTTAATTTATTTCTACATTTTTTGGTTCAGCTCAATCAATAATGAAATTTCTCTTAAATACTCATCATATGTCACCCATTATGTTTGACTGAAGCTACCGACTCAATTTCGCTAGTATCGCGTGCAATACTTGCTAGGAGAATAATATAATTATAGTGTACAATTTATCGCCATTATTAAAGCATATAATGTCTGTTACACTTATAAGCACGTTAATAAATGTTATAAATTCTTAACGTAAATTGAAAACTCGTAAAATTTTGGCAAGACAAAATTTAATCACACAGAAACCACCTCCTATTTCTCAAAGGTTAGGAAAAATACTACATTTCGACTGACGCATCGGTGAGTGCAGAATTGTTGTAAAGAATCGGGCCATAATAACAGATTATATAAATATAATATATTAAGAGTTTTTTCGACGGCTTAATAGAATCTATGACCCCATTTCGTCCCATGGGTGTAGTGAAAGTCGGCGAACAGATATTCCAGAATAATAAATTGCGCTGTAATCATCTCTCATTTAAGCCAGACGAAACGTTTCAGTATATAAGAATTATTAAAGATTTGAGTATAAGTGGGTACTTACCGGTCAGCCACCGCAGAATCTATTTCACCTGAAGATGTCTCGTTTAAAGGCGAAACATGTAACGTATTTTGATTGTAATTAAGCATAGAATACTACTATTGACAGTTTTTTTATAGGATAGGGTGACAAACGAGCACACAGTCCACCTGATGGTAAGTGGTTGCTGTGACCCATAGACATCTACATCTATCCTCAATAAAGACTCAAGATGCAGATGCGTTGTCGCCCGCGAGGTCCAAGATGGAATGCCCCTTTGCCAGTAAATAGGGTCTCCAGTTCTCTACACTCACCATACGAAACACAGTAGCGTTAAGCTGCTATTTTACGCTGGTTTTCTCTGAGAGCGTGGTCCTTCTCCGGTCGAGCCGACCCATTCGTGCTACAACTATACTACTAATATAGCTGCAGCATGGCTCTACCACGTAATGAATGTACAGTGATGTATCTTTCCTAGTGCGGTGGTGTTAGGATTAATGGTGACGGGGATAGTGCACGCAATCGAAGGTGAATGGGCTCTTCAAACTTTATGAATATTTAAAATTTACTGATATATTTTTAACATAGAAATAAATTTAAATATAGAAATGGGTAAATAAACAAATGAGCTATTTTCATATTTTTCCATCTGAAAGGTAAATTACAAAATATGCTGATATACCTTTGAAAATTTACGACCATCGTTTGTAAATACAAAGTCAGCGGGATACCCGAGGCGAGACCGATGTTATATTGACGTAGTCACAAACCTGAAAAATCAAGTATTAATCCTATAATGAAATTTATTAAAAAAGGTATATTGTTTCAGTATTATAATCTTCTCCTTTAAAAAAATTGCAGATTAATTTGATTTCAAATTTACACCTTAGAAAGCACGTAAATTCGTTGAGCTTGCGCCTATTATCTCACCCCGTCCCATCGGAATATGAGCGTGAGAGAATGGAGAGTGCACTTGTGTTTGCGCGTACACTCGGGCACTATAATCCTATAGTGCGCAGATGGCTAGTCTCCGTTGAGACCGGCTGCCGTGACCGAAATTCGTTCTGAAGGTCCCTTATTAATAGCATCACGCTGTTATGTCTGCAGTACGAATGGATCGGCTTGGGAATCTTTGACATAAAAAAAACAATTTTTTTTTACATAAATTACGTAAACAAAAAGATATATTTCACAAAAACAACAAAGTGACATGCGAACCTTACAACAGGCTCACAAGGATCATAATGTTTTGGACATAGCTTAGATAACGATTAGTTGAAATTTTACTGTAATTGGAAGCAAAACGTTTTTATAACATTTCAAACAAGCTTTTATCAACATGCTGTCATGAAATAATAATCTTGTACTTTTGTTTCAACTTATTAAAATAATGAAAAGCTGAAGTGCATATATTAAATACACCTAAGTTCAGATGACAACAATTAAGTGCAGCTGATTGCAGTCGGTTCGCTGCAATCGTGGCGGTATAAAATACAAAGTTAAAAAATACATGTCACACAGCGATGAAATCCGCTGCAGGACCAAAGTGACCTACATAGCCAAACAGGCGAAGTAGCTTCATCTTACTGGTCTATATCCGGTGCATAGTACATCATCTATATGGTGTATTATGCACCGGATATAGCTCGAAGAACTGACGAACGATGTTGCAAAAATATTCTTTAGACATCATTGTGCCAGTAAGCTAAAGTACGGCGACTCCCCCTAGATAAGGTGACGTCCAGTAGAACATGCAGTGTCGGTGGTTGCAGGTGGCACAGGACCCTCATTTGTAGCATTTTTCAAGGGCAATCTATGTTTAGCAGTGCACTTGTGCTGTAATAATAATGGTGTTAAAAAAAGTGGAAGGCATTATTGGAAAAATTTGTACTATGATTATTGAACGCATATTTTGAAATGAAACTACTTTTAGAATGTCTGTCATTTCTGTACATTGGACGCAAATGTTTATGCCTGTGCGTACTCGTATTTTTGTAGCTTTTTCCTACGATTCCTGCTAAATTGGGATTTTCCAATTGTTTGTTTACTCAAAATTTATAACTGTATTATTCGTATTTTTTTAAAGACTAATTGCGTTTGCGGCAGTTTAGTTAGGGTTGAAGTAGAAAGAGACGAAGACTTTTTCCTACATTACATTTGTTTTCTAACTTAAAAGTTAACATAACTACCGTGATAATGTGACTACACCGGTACCTAGCATACAAACTAATATAACTACTACTGGGCGACTTTGGCAATCAATCCCTGGTTTTTATATGTTTAATATTCTTAAGTCATGTAAGTTAATTGAGTCACGTCTTTACAGACGTACTGTTATTTGCTTAGCAGGCGGTGTTGTGTGGTAGGTGACTTCCTAATGGCTTGCAAGGCCTCGCATATGTAACTCACTTCTAAACCATTAGTATATACACAATGTGATGACGAGGGCTTGCGCAGGAGAGCTGCTATTTTCCGTGATGTTAATGCTGTAAGCAAAAGACTGCGACTTATTTAAAATAAGGGACTGATGTTGATGATGATGGTAGTGGTGGTGATGGCTATGATGGTGCCGACTATGCCCAAACATTAAATTTTCATTGCAGTGTTCACCTATACGCAGATCAGTATTCAGATGAAAAATCTAACCGCCGCGCCGTCCGAGCAGGAGTTGCAGGCGGTACTCTAACGAATTATCTTCTGTCGTTCGATATTCCCGGGCACGGTTCTGCAGTGTTGCGCAGGACAGGGAGAAGTGCCATGTTTTCGTATCGAAGGCCAACCCATTTCGGAGTAATGGGAGTGAGCGTGTGAGTTTGATGGCGGCGCAAAAGAATCAACACTTCACTTCGTATCGTAGGTGTCATAAGAGCCGACTATCGGATATTCCCTCTTAGATCTAGATCTTATGGCTTCGATAGATGACTGTATAACCATCTTGGTTATTTCAAGCAAAAATACTCAGATTGTTGACGGGCATCAGCGTTAAAGGTGCAAGTCATCTTGTACTGCAATCGTCAACGCGTCTACCAAGCGTGAGGATTTAGTTAAATTCTCTCTACAACGAGCAGAGGTCCTGTACTGTTACCGTTACCACTACAGCCTTTTAAAGTCCACTGTTGGACATAGGCCTCCTCCCATAGATTTCTTTATAGGGATCTACCTATTGTCTTGCCATAGTTACCACGCCTGGCAAGCACGTTAGCAACCGCAGTTTCTTATTCTTTATTCAGTTGTTATCGGAAAGATGTTAGTTCCCATCTCCTGGTTCAGTTTTGCCCTATATCTCTTACAATAACCACGGTAGTATATATTCTTACACCGTAACTACACGGTATTTATTATAGGACTTTAGGAAAAGAAAACAAAATAAAATTTACTTCGAATAAATTATTACTTTTATTGTAATTTATTTAGCATAAAATAATATTAAATTAATTTATATTAATGGCTCGTCCATCACAGTAAATTGCGTTTCTTCAGAAACAATTTGAAACTTAAATTCGTGTAACTGTCAGCGCTTAAAACTTTACCCGGCATTTATACTATTTTTACTTTGTTCAAGTTGGCTTATCGCGTCAGGATCTTTCTCAACGATCGCCTTAGCTTCAGGAGAGTCAACAGAAGGAGCTTTTCCGTGAAAAGTTTCTTCAGTGTATACGAGATTTGTTTTCCTCATCGTACCGTGTATCTGTAATCACATATTCATTTTAGAAAAGTCATTTCCTTTTAATATAAAGCAATAAAAATGTCAGACCCAAATGAAATTAAAGTTTACGATTCTTAAAAAAAAACACAAAAATATTCTTTAATTTTCAGCCAACTCTCAAAAAAGGCGGAAGATATTAATTTTTTTTATATAGAATAAGCGTGACAAACGAGCACAAAGTCAGCCTGACGGTAAGTGGATGCTGTGGCCCATAGAGATCTACATTTATCCTCAAATAAGAATCAAAATGCAGATGCGTTGTCACCACATGTTTTTGAGATGGAATGTCTCGTTTACAGTAAAAAGGGTCTCCGGTTCTCTACACTCACTATACGAAACACAGCAGCATTAAGCTGCTATTTTATGCTCGTATTCTGTGACAGTGTGGTCCTACTCCAGTCGAGCCGACCTAAAAAAAATTCAAATACGACTGTATGGTGTTTTAGTATGTATATTACGCGATATCTTTGTCAATTACGAACCAATTTTAATGATTCTTTTTATTACATAGGTACACTTCGGGAGTAGTTCTAAGAAGAGGAGAATAGGGGAAGAAGTGTGTAATGTTACCATTTTATACGACATTCTAGAATTTACCTTTTGCTTGTAACTTCCTTATTCCACTCAAAAGGGTCAAAAAATTAAAGTTTAATAAAAAAAATAAAGTCGACTTCAAGGAACCGAAAAGAAAAATATATATTTTTGTTAGCAACCTATGACCTCGAGGCTAATACTTCTATATGTCTTAGCACCGACTTCAGAAGCTGTATGTGGACATTTTTTTATGTTTTTTTTTTGTTCTTTAAAGTCGGCTTTAACTTTTTCTTAAGATTATTTATTATAAATTTTCTCAAAGTTATCTCATCCGCTTTGTACTCTCTTTTTTAAATAGACGTCTGGCACTGCGATCGTCTATCCAAAAATAATTTTATACGAGTAGAGCCGCGCTATAGCTATATTATGTATGTGTGGACACGAATAGGTGGACTCGATCGGGAAAAGACCACCAAAATTCCAGCTTAGTGCTTCTTTGTTTCGCATGGTTAGTGTAAAGCATTCCATTTTAGCCCTCGCGGTTGACAACGCATTCTTCATGTTGATTCTTAATCGAATATAGCTGTAGATGTTTATGCGTTTAACATCAATTTGTCATCAGGTGGACTCTGTGTTCGTTTCTCACTCATACTCAAAAGAAATCGCCTTCCAAGCATTATTTTTTATATGAGAGAGGCAAACGAGCATACGGCTCACCTGATGATAAGTGACTACCGCCGCCTATGAAAAACCACAACAGCAGGGGAATTGCAGGCGCGTTACCGGCCTTTAACAAAGTAGTAAGCTCTTTTCCTGAAGGTACCTAAGTCGTATCGGTCAGGAAAACCGCCAATAAACAAATTCACAGAGAAGTTGTACCAGGAAGGAAACTCCTAGTAAAACGCACAGTTGTATATCGCGAAGCATCCAGATGGTGAGGATGGTATTGTGAATTTTGACGCAATGTGCGTTCGTGAAATTTCGCGGCTGGAATTAATCCGAACCATTCCTCAGAGCACTCCCCGTGGTAGATTCGATAGAAAATGCAAAGGGATGCAACATCCCTACGCAGTGCCAGTGAATCGAGCCGATCGGAAAGGCCTCTGTCGTCAATGATTCGAACCGATCTGCGCTGGATGCGTGCAGGTTGAAGGAGCTGACACTGGGGTGCCCCGGCCTAGTAAATGAGAACAGTATTCCATGTGAGGCCGAACTTGCGTTTTGTAAAGTTGCAAGCGATGTGCTGACATGAAAAACTATCCCACTCTGCTGAACACGCCAAGCTTTATAGTGGCCAATTTGGCCTAACCTTCCAAATGACCACGAATATACACACTATTCGATTCGATATGTCAACGCCGAAGATTTCGATGCTAGCTGAGGCAGCAAGCAGAGTGCCTTCAAACTGAAGAGATACGACAAAGGGGTTCTTTTTAGCGGTAAACACGAAAACTTGTGTCTTCTGGAGATTGAACTGGACTAGATTTAGTCGCCCCCAATCCGAGACTTTGTGACATGACGATAAAAGTATCCTCCGTACAATGTAAGGGATCCAACTCTAGCCGAGGATTTTTAACAGCTAATGAAGAAGGGAAAATGAAGTATACTGTATTAGTAATTAGATAAATTGTTGTTAGGTATTATTATACCTTATTATTCAAAGACTTCTGTATAGACTTCTAACGAAACAAAAACTGCGTCGCAACTATGCCATGCAGTTGTATTTTCATTTACGGCAGTTAATATAATAATAATAATAATTTTATATACTCATTTAACATAAACTTCAAATCACGTTGACGAAGTGCGCACATAAATAATGATAGTGTTTTCTTAGTCACAATAAACAAAGTCAGTGTTAGATTGTCAAAAACAACGTTCGCGGTTTACAAAACAAAGAACTAGTCTTCTCATCCGCTCGCATTCGACTAAAGGTGTTACGGAGAATTGACCGTAACTTAATGCGCAATTTATAACTACCATAGTGCTTGTCTACTAGTTTACATAAAAGTCTTTGTTCATATTAAAATCCGCTCATCAGATATATTAGCGACTTGGTGATGCAGGAAACTTGCTGTGTGACATTCCTTGGGGAGGCCTGTGTTTGGGGACTTGGAACTTATGTGATGATGATGATGATTATACCTTATCCCAAAACGACATATTGAATCCAAAGTTGCAGTGGAAGAATTGATGATGTTGATCGTGGAACTCGGCGTCTGGCTGCCATGGTTGCCACCACTGCGACTTGAAATTAATTCCAGAATGGTCGATGATGCCGTGGAAGTAATTGTAAAGGGCGACCATATAGAAAGGCACTGAAAATTTAATAATATCCATGTTATTATTAATTCACAACTTCTAAAATAATTAATCAGTTTTTCTCCTGTTTTATAAGACATTTTAAATTATCGCACATATTTTATGTTTTTCTTTTAACCATTATTCTGAATTAGTGTCTCTAAATTATCATTATCGATATATTCGTATCGTGAACGTCTGTAACGTAGTTTTCCTAGATATTTAACATTGAATTATTTTTCATTGTCCTTCATAAAATCACCGAAGAATAGAGCTTTACAGAGTTTACTTCAACTTTGACTTAATCATGAAAATTATTTGTGTAAATTTTCGAGAATATTTCTTAATTCAATATTTTTCATCTCAGAGGTACCTCGTTTAGAGCCGGGGCGGCATCAGAGGCAGCTGAACTGAGTAAGTGGCGCAAATATGATTGTCTGAGAGATGACTACAGATTTGTGCCATTTGCTGTAGAGACTATCGGTTCGTGGGGTCCACGTGCGGTAAAGTTCCTAAAGGAACTCCATCCGCGGCTGGTCTTTGCTGCTGGTGATAAGAGGGCTGGTTCTTTTCTCGCTCAAAGGCTAAGTATAGCCATTCAGCGGGGAAACGCAGCCAGAGTTCTTGGCACGATACCGCAGGGAGTAGGACTATAATTATGATAATTAAGTTTCTAGTTTTAGTTTTTTTATTATTATTATTATAGTTTTTAATATTGTATATAATAAAATTACCAATTCTTGAAAAAAATCAATAATTAAAAAATAAATAAGAAACAAAACACTAACCCAGGGACCATAAAATGAGTTATTTTCTTGTTTCTAAAACTAGAGAATGAAATTTTGATTTCGTTCTAAAAGAAAGTTCAAGAGCGAAATGTGGAAATCCTAAATTCATCTTAAATATTACGAAGTAACGACCAGACAAAAATCATGCAGTCTGGTTTTCTTAATCACCTCTCCATTTGGTAAGTCTGACAATACTGACAAATTATTCTCATTTGGACTGGTCTATGCGGTTCATTTTACTTGAGGATAAAGAAGAATTAGATATTGACCGTAAATTGAAATATTCAATATATTTTTTGAAGACTAATGCCAATATTATTACTGATATTTCCTTTAACCACCTGTTAAGCTTAAAATGCTTGTGTTTGGAACGGTTCACGAAAGTAGTCGAATGGTAGATTCGAACCCACGACCTTTTGAGTTCGCAATCTGCACTCTGCCATTAGGCTACTGGCGCTTTCCACGTCATAAAACATAGGTTATTTTTACACAAGAACAAGTAGTTTTAGCATCTCATCTTTTTACCTGATCATTTATACCGGAATAAGTATTAACATTAAGGGGTCTTGAAGGTTTAAGTAAAATTAATATCATAATTTTTCGTAATTTTAAGTAAAGAACTTAACTATATAATAAATATATAATAACAAATATGTAGTAACAAATATTTTAAAACCTTACTCCAGTGTACGGGGACAGTAAAGAGAGGCAAGCACGACGTGAGTTGGACATGCATAATTTCGACGGGGTGGATCGCTGTCACGGAGAAAGCCGTCGGCTGCTTGTACTTATGGTGAAGCTTGTGGAACCGCTTATAAAGCCAAGGAGTATGGTACAAACGATGCAGAATATACGTTGTATAGTCCTGAAAATGTGAATAAATATTAACTATGATAGCACCAAAGATCGAACACGGTTTACGAATGTAAATAAGTCCGGTCCTTCAATGCTTAGGAGAGGATTAAAAAATTATTGTCAAATAAGAAATAAAATTATCATAAATAGAAGGAAGTAAAAAGCGAAATTTTACAATTTTTTTTAATAAAACTCAATAATTACACGATTCAACTTAAATTAAATCAGTAATCTAGTAAGTACATACATACATACGTACATAAACACTCACAGCTGTCATTCAGAGGGATAAGTAGAGATTACGGACTTCTATTTAGTACTTTCCTGACACACCTCTCTCGCATACATGCTTGTCAGTTAAGGGCACTCTAAATTTTGCTCATCTTCAATATATCGCCAATATGGTCGATAAACTTTCATCTAGGGCATTCCTTCTAGTTCCATTATTAGTTCTAGTCTTCTAGTATACAGTTACTAGTTTTTTTATTATATGAACTATAATTGACACAGTAGCGTAATAATATAAGATATTTACCATGTAGAGAAAAATGACTGGGTACTGCAGAAAGAACCAAGTCCAACCATATTCGTCGAATTGAAAGTAAACGGTGCACGGATTACCGTTGTAGATATAGCAAGCAAGGAAAGCGGAGAAGCTTCCGACGATTAGGAGTGATATAGTTCCCACCATGATTTCATGACGCTCAAGTTCCGGGGACAGCCATTTGTTTGGCTGGATCTTCCACTCGTGAGCTCGGTGTTTCCTTTGCATATAGAAGTACCACTGAAAGAAAAGACAAGTCAATGTTTCAGCTTGTTATACTGACGTATTTTTTATAAATAGCTTACTGGGAGGACCCTTTTCTGCTCATAAGTCCATTTGTGTCATCTTTTACCTGTTTTATTTTTATTTTCAAAAAGTAGAATAGAATAGAATATTTTTCATTCAATATAGATAGCAAGAAATCCAGAGAGTGAATCGAGTAGTAGTATTGTGATAGTATGTACCCTTGAATTGGTACAATTTGACATCCTCTGGATAAAGTTAACTAAAAGTGTATGACATTTAAGAATTTATTGACATTGGGCTTTAATAATTATTGATTTGTTGACATTGATGTTTATGAATGTATTTGACCCTTTTTGGAAATAAATGTTACCTGAAATATATGTAACATAAACTTAAATTTGTATCCTAATTATAAGCAAACCATGTAAACTTATTTTACTGTAACACCTACGAATACTATGTTTTAAGCAAATAAAGAAATTATTATTTAAAAAAAGAACATACAGTCGGATTGAATACCGTCTCCTTTTTGAAGTTGGTAGAAAATACTCTGCAATTGAGATAAATATTGATAAGATTATAATCTGGTAGCAGATAACCGACGGAAAAACGATCTTAATGGATCATTACGTGAAATAGCGTCTATAGTTTAAAGCACCTGGTATTGCAATCAGATGTGGATCATTGCGGTTTATGGAGCAAATGCGAGACTTTGCAAAGGCATTTACTTATCTCTCAATGACCATAGTATTCTATTTTACTACTACTTCAAAAGAAGGGGGGATTTTTTCATGAGTATAATATTTTTTGTATGTATTAGATATGGAAAAAATGTTATACATTGTTTACATTCAAATATTACAGGGTAAATTACACAAACTGATCATCAATCTTCTCTATAAACATTGAAGTGTATAAAACAGACATTCTTATTTATCTTCTGATGAGAAATTATGTTCACATTTCCATTTCTGTACTAGTGGCATAAGTTATAGGATGGTGTGCGAAGAGGAAAAACTCTTGATCTCTTATAATGTAGTTAATTCCTTATCACATTTGGGGATTGATGCAAGTCGCTGGGACACAAAAACAAATAGTATTTCAAGAATTAATTTTTGTCACAAAGAAATTTTCATATCTTATTTTCTTATCAGTATCCTTTCTGAAAAAACTACGAGCCTGAACCTGAAACCTGACAATCTCGCGATCTATAACTGCAATGATCTAATATGCCGCCCGCAGATCACGAAGGATGAAAACAGAAGAAGTTGTTGTGAAGTCTTACAAATTTCTCGAAACCTTTGTGTCTCATCTGTTGTGTTCAAATCATCAACGCCCAAAATAAATATAAATTTATCAGGCCTTAGAATTCAAGACAGGCGGCTGATGGACCAATGTTTATATAAATTACAAATAATTGTTCCAGATTTGGATGTTTCTATGTGAAATTTATGTATGTAAAACGCCTCCACGATGCAAGTGGCAATACTAACATGGTAAAGTTTTAAAAGAAAATAAAAAAAACCGTCGGAATTATTGTTATAGAATGTTATTTCTCCTTTTTGATTAATATTATGCTTGCAGTTAAAATGAAAAGTCATTCGAGTCGTTCACACTGATAGTCTAACACGATAGTCGTATATATTATAAAAATAAATAAATGCAAGTCATACAAAAATACACATTATGATTAGTTTATGTGGTGTCTTTAACATAAAGCCCTGCTTACAAATAATTTAGCCTCAGCAACTCGACAAATTATGACTTCTTTTTATCACCAACACTATAGGTCATCACAAGTCACACAAATGACATAGGCCCTCCTCTAATGTTGCCTCAAAGTACGGTCCCAAGCCACTCGCATGAATCGACTACCTGCGTATTTCGTGAGGTCGTCATTTATGTAGTTTAAAGCTACTTTTATTATAATATATACTCGGTGTGGTAGAGACGTGCTGCCACCTTATTTCTATGTATGCCATGCTGCTACTATATTGTTGTAGCACCAATAGGTTGGCTCGATTCTTATTTAAATACAGATGTAGGTGCTCATGGACCACAGCATCCACTTACCATCAGGTGGACTCTGTGCTCGTTTGTCACCCTTATTTTATTAAAAAAGGTGGTATTCAAATGAACAAATCAGTGGACTAGGTATTACAACATCACACTGTTGTCAAGTGCATCATACAAACATTTAATTACAAACATTGATCATGTTTATCACGAATTACTGAAATACGTGATAATGTTGTGAATGCCAGATAAAACACAAGGTATGTGACCGAATGCAGGTGGATTTGATTAGCATAAGCAACGTCACAATAAAAAAAACACAATCAAAAATTATCTTTTACGATAATTCATCGCTTAGAGCATTAATTAAATTAAAGGTACGATAACGCATAACTATTTAGAAATAAATTATATAAAAGATTTAATAAAAATATATATGATTTTTTTTTATTTTATAGATAATATTTTTTTTAAATAATCTGCTCCGTGGAGCAGTAGCTTTTCAGTGATAGATAGATATATAAAGATAGATAGATAAGTCATTTATTTTTGTTTTTTTCCAATAACACACGTAAATTCAGTGACTAAACTTACAAAATAAGTTATTATGAAAAAATTTACAAAAATTTAAAATCTAAATGTACATGTGTGTTGCAGTTTGACAAATGGGTCCTAGCTCAGCGATTAATATTGCTCAGAGAGCAAACACTGTGTTTCAGCTATTATCCTCGAGATGAGGTGACGAAAATGAGCACAATAGTATAATCAGTATAAATATGAATATATGAATGATGTGTACTTTTTCGACTTCGACTTGCATCTTGGGTTCAATTTAGTAAAATTACTGAAGGGGTGTGTAAGTTTGTAAGATTGCGTACAAATTAAAGCTAGTACCTAAAAGGTTTAGACAGTCATGATGAGTTAGTAGGAAGAAAGAAATGCCATGAATTATAGCTGGCAATCGAAGTGTTTGGGAATACCTAGTTTTTGTTTATCTAGAAGTTATCTCTTGAATTCATTTTTATAATTGTAATTAGTGATAAGATTTATTTTTGGTGGTCGGATGTTATTCCAACATTTCAGTGCCATATATGGGAAACTGCCAGTAAATGCTGCTGTTTTAAGGCTATAATAAAGGAGTGATCTTATGGACCTCAGTTTTTTTACAGAATTGCGCTTAGTAAACTTTATCTTTGAATGCTACTTGCACTCTGGTTTTTTTACTTAATAACATTAAAACAAGCCATCCTAAATGTAGCTCTTTACGTTAGTCCATATTAGGCATGGAAGCAGCAACAAGCATTTTGCATGCGCTATACTAGTCGCTTCGTTTTGCTGAAAAGTCGAGGTCCATAAACTACATGTCCGCGTAATACCTTAAGACAATAAAAACAGTTTTTTACCATAATAAGGACATGATTTTCAAATCTGAGATTACTGTCGAAGGTTATGCCAAGGTTTTTTGCTTCATCCACGCGTATTATATGTTTACCATGAATCTTAATCATCACAAATTCTACTTATTTGCGTCTTTGTGCCCATGATCATATATTTGGACTTTGAGGGGTTTTAAACTAGAGCATTTCGCATTGACCAGTCAGTAATTCTGTCCAAATCCTAACTAAACCGTTTACACCGTTAACCGGTTACAGCTTGTGGTAACTTATCTGGTGAGTCTGACACATAAACTTGCACATCATCAGCGTAGCAGTGGTACTAAGAATAGTTTATAACTTTGATAAGATCAACACAGTGAATTATGAAAAAAAGTGGACCACGAATTGAACCCTGAGGACCACCACGATTAATAAATCTAGGGTGAGAGCGTACATTGGACTCATTACTCTTTACCAATTTTACTGACTGGTACCGATTACTCAAGTAACTTCTGAACCACTTGAACGGATTTTTGTCTAAACCATAATGTAATATAATAAATGACAGTTAATCAAGTAATCAGTAAATCAGCCATAAGTTCGGGAATAGCCTAATAGTGTTAAAATCGTATTTCATGAGGTTCAGGACCGGAATCTTGTTAATTAATATGTTGTCTGTGACATTGAGTACAGCAATCGCTGTGCCACATCCTTTGCGAAACCCAGATTATAAATAAGGCGTGATGGTAGTTTCTCTATCAAATTTAGTCAACTGTTCGTAAATAGCTTTTTCCGACAGTTTTGCAAGGAATGGCAAAATGCTAATGGACCTAAGGCCTTTAAATACAACCAGGTTTTTATTTTTGGATATTGGGGCCACTACTTCCTCCTTCCACATATTAGGAACTATACACGTCATAATTGACTTATTAATTATAGCCGTGATTGCATCCAGAGTGCAAGGAAGATAAAGTAAGATCTCTGTTGATTTCATCGTGTCCAACAGCATTCGGTTTTATGGACATTACATATTTACAAATATCTGGTTACGTATATATAATACGGGAGCTAATTTAAATATCTCTGTATTAAATTTATTACGTTAAAAAAATAGTATTGGTCTGCATTAGAAACTACATTGTAACCCGGAATATTCAAAAAGTGATCATTCATTTTTTCGGGTCATTGAAATGAGAAGGCAAGGATTTGTCTTTCGAAGGGTCAGACAAAAATTTTTCCTTAAATTTTTCCCAAATGTTTTGCCATTTTTAGCTTGAGAATCAACTTAGCTATTGAAGTAGGCCCATTTTCTTCTGAAATACTTTTTAAAACTAGACTTTTGAGCTCCTTATTATATTTTCTTTATTTGTCTGATCCAGATTTTCGATAGACATCGTAAGTCATGTGCATTAGTACATACAAGATCTATCAGTCTCAGTATACGATGTGCAATGAGTCAGCTCACTGATAACTTGATGGAGGTTCATGTAATCAAAGAATTGAGTAAGTTTGACAGTACTAATATTACTTCCCACGAGCACGTTAATGCTGAAATCTCCCAACAATTTGTTGGGAATCTCCCAATGATTGTGATTGTGAAAC